TGAAGGTGAGATTGGAGGTGAGGGTGGAGTTGAGACTGGAGGTGATCATTAGAAGTGAAGATGGAGGTGAGATTGGTGGTGAGATTAGAGGTAAACCTGGAGGTTGGATAAAGGTGAGGAAGGTGAGTTTGCAGGTAAGGATGAAGGTGAGGTTAGAGATGAGGTTGGAGGTGAGGTTTGAGGTTAGAATGAAGGTTGAGGTGAGGCTGGAGGTGACGTTGCTTCAGGCATTGTGTGGGGACAGAGACTGAGGATGGTACTGGAAGGCCTCAGGGAAGAGGTGCCATCTGAGGATAGTCCTGGAGATCCAGGCAGGTTGGGGAGCCTGCAGGAACACAGCCTGTGCGAAGGCAGGTGTCTGGGAAGGCAGCGGAACATTCTGGAGCTCATGCACCTGTCTTTGGTTCTGACCCTGAAAAACTGTGTTGCTTAGCGCAAGTAAGTTAACCTACTGAGTTTAGTTTCTTGGTCTGCAACACGTGCTCAGCTGGGTCACTATTGACATTGGGGCCAGATGATCCCTTGCGGGGTTGTCCTGAGCATTGCACGGTGTTCAGCAACATCCCTGGCCTCTCCACTAGATGCCAGCAGCGCTGCTAAGTTGCAACAATCAATGAGCTCTCCAGACATTTGCTCCTGGGGGGTGAAATCGCAACCACTTGCGTAATATAGGACAACAGTACCTACCCTGCCCGCAGCAATGAAAGCTGCCGGTGAAGAGCGTGAACTCAGAGCCAGCCTGTTTGGGTCATTTCCTAGCTGTGTTTTTCACTAGCTTTGTGGACCTTTGGAACTTACTCAACCTTTGTGGTTTCCTTTTCTGTAAATGTTTCTTCATCGGGTTCCTGGAAGGGGTAAAGGAGGTGATAGATGTCCAGAGCTCGCCCAGAGCCTGGATGCATGGCGCCTGGCCAGGCACTAGGGTCCTTAGGAGACTTAAATGAAACTTCGAAGCCAGGGCCTTTCCCGGTCACTGCTTTGTCCCAGTAATGCCCACAGAAGGGCCCCGTTCTGACTCAGTGAGTGGAGGTCGAAAGTGGCTGTGTTTGACCTTCGCCTGGGGCAGGCCTTTCGTATTAGGTCATGTCTTTAGACTTACTGCTCTTGTGGGGAGTGTCTGAAGAAGGTTCTGGGACAGGTCCAGAGGCAGGGGCAGCCCCCAGGGGTGCCAGGACCTTTAAAAGTTGAATTGGGTCCCTGGCCTCCAGGCCCTGGAGAGGAGCTAGTAGTGGCCACTGGTTTCACCAATTCAGCAGTTTCCATTTTACCCTAATCATAGATTTCTGTCTCAGGAACTCAGGGCTCCTACCGCTGCCTGAAGGGTATCTCTGGGTTGCTTTCCAGAAATCGAAAGCATGTATCGCCTTCCTGTTTTCCGGAAAGTCCTACTTAACAGTATGTTGGCTAACTTCTGGCCTCAGGCTGAAGGAGGGACAGATGGGCAAGGAGGGGACCACTTTGAGCCTTGGTTAATATGTTTGTAAAATGGCATGTGAAGAATCCATATTCCATAGGGTCGTTGTGAAGATGAACAGAGCATGCGCACAAAGGCCAGGCAGTGGCCGGGTCTGGGTCTGGTTTCTGGCTACTTGGTCTAGCGGAGGGCACAGTTGTATCTGCTGAGCGAATGAGTGAGTGGATCAGCAGCAGGCCCTTCGCCACCCATCATCCTCTTCCTCCTCTGCTCTATTTCCCTCCTTAACACCCACCACCATCTGACTCACTGGATAGGTCACTGTTCACAGGTGGGCATGACCTGCCATTCCTCATCATACTGGAAACTCCACTGAGGCAAGGAGTTTTTCTTGAGACACAGTTTTGCTCTTGTTGCCCAGGCTGGAGTGTAATAACGTGATCTCGGCTGACTGCAACCTCCACCCACCGGGTTCAAGTGATTCTCCTGTCTCAGCCTCCCAAGTAGCTGGGACTATAGGCGTGCGCCACCACACCCAGCTAATTTTTGTATGTTTAGTAGAGATGGGGTTTCGCCATGTTGGCCAGGCTGGTCTCAAACTCCTGACCTCAGGCGATCCACCCACCTTGGCCTCCCAAAGTGCTGGGATAATAGGCATGAACCATCGCACCCGGCCCAAGGACTTTTATCTATTTTGAGATCCCAGAGCCTGTCACACGGCTGGTTCTTAAGAATTATTTGTTGAATGAATGAGTGAGATAAAAGCAGCTTTCCGTATAAATTCAGATTCTGACATATTGTAAAACCCAAATAAAGTCTTCTTAGAAGTGACCAGCTCAACGAACTTCCTTGCTTTCTCTCCTCCCTCTACAGAAGAAGACCCGGACCTCGCCTGCCTTTCCCCATCATTAGAACGGGGCCGAGGGCTCCGCGGCGTGGCTCTGCTGCCTCTCCTCTTGCCAACTGGTCGTCCCTTCCCTTCCTCTGCAGGGCACTGTCCGGGGAGCCACAGGAATCTTCCCTCTCTCCTTTGTAAAGATCCTAAAAGACTTCCCTGAGGAGGACGACCCCACCAACTGGCTGCGCTGTTACTACTATGAAGACACCATCAGCACCATCAAGTCTGTGGCCTGGAGGGAGGGGCCTGTCCGGCCTTCCTGCCATCCCTCCCACTACCACCCCTCATATCACCCTCCCGTGGGTCCCTCTCCCACTCCAAAGCCCGCAGTGGCTTCCAGATGAGCCACAACGCTGTAACAAGACCTCAACATTCAGGATAGCTTGGCCAGCCTCATTACCATTTCCCCCACCCTATACCCCACTTCCAGCCTGATGCCTCCTTACGCCAACCTGTCACCCCCACAGGGACATCGCAGTGGAGGAAGATCTTAGCAGCACTCCCCCATTCAAAGACCTGCTGGAGCTCACGAGGTGAGGGGCTGGGAACGGGGATGGGGATTTAGACTCTCTGGAGAAGGGAAAGCAGGGAGAAATGCCAAGCGTTCGTATGAAGGTGCTGGGGGTTTTGCATGTACTTTGCCTTCTCGTTTTATCCGCAGCTCAGCCTAGAGGTTAGGTAGCGCCTCCCCACTTTAGAGATGAGCTGGGAAGCTGCGGAGGTTGGGGGACTTGGCTGAGCTCACACAGGTTGTAAATTTAAATCCGGATCTGCAGCTGGAGCTAAAGCCTCTCTGGCTAAAAGCCTGGACTTGAACCATGCACCATCAGGGACTCACCAGCTCCCCAGGTCCAGGACACTGTTAAACGTTCTTTTATAAAATGGTAATCTCATCGTGACATTTCTGACCATAAAAGTCGTTCCAACTCATCATATAAAAAAAGAAATGTCAGAAATCATGCCGGAAAGGTACGAAGAAGTGAAATCACCTCCTAGCTTTACCGCCTCATTACGTGACGTGCACTCAGGTTTCTTCAGTACTTACAGCCCCACACACACGTGCACACACAAAGGCTACTTGGGCTGCACAAAACCTTTCTGTGGCTACGTCATGAATGTGGCCTGGCCCTTTTGCTGGCCTCTTAGGATTTCTTCTACGTCTTTTAACTGCTCTAAACAACATTGTACAGACCATCTTCATTCACCTATTCAATGACTTATCTGATTATTTCCTTGTAATGATTTTCAAGAAGTGGAATTGGGGATTAAAGCGTTTGCAAGTCTCATAGGCTTCTGTCAAATTACTGGTAGAAAGCGCAGGTCAACTTCTAGGTGCTCCAGCCACGTAGAAGAACGAGCATCTTCCTGCAGCCATGCCAGACAGTTCCTGTCCTTACAAGATTCTCCTCAATAGCCCCATGTAGGCATCTCTCTGAGGCTTTCTACAGCCCTACTCTGTGCCCAGCCAGGCCCACTCTTCTTTATAACAACTCCGAAGCCCTTAGCACATTTATATACAAGACATTTCAGGCTGCGCCACTAATTTCCTGTGAAAGTCTCTTCTCCTTTTTTTTTTTTTTTTTTTTTTGAGACAGAGT